TCGGTTCCCGGTACCGGAAAAAAAAAAAAAAAAAAAAAAAAAAAAAAAAAAAAAAAAAAAAGTATTACATCTTTTATAAGATTGACCTTGTTAATTTGATATTAGTTCTTCTGAAGATATTATTCCTATTTTTAATCTGCATTTAAATTTTTTCCGTTCACTTGATAATCTGTTCAGCCACTTTATTATTCAGTCAGATTAATTTTTCTTTTTAAACCTCAGGAACCTTTGAAAGATGATGGTGAATTTGTATACTGCATTCCTCGGGGGAATCTTAAAAGTTTTCACAATCCATATGATCTTCAGGTGGTATCTGCCTACAGAGCTAGAAATTGCAAAAAATTTTGGATTATTTCTGCTTCATTTATTTCAAAGGTAATATTCTATAGTTGATTGGTTTTCAAAGTAAAAATAGAAAAATAGTATCCAATTTAGAATTTAATTGCGTAAATTTATCTCTTTTAGAGAAGCTTGGTCATTTTGAGAAACAGTTGAAGAATCTCCTTAGGAGGAAGTTATTAGTGATTTTTTCTTTGTACATACTTAGATTTGAAGTTTCAGTATTAAATATATTTTACCTTCACCCACATAATTTATTAATATTTGTTGTACATTTTTAAAAGAGGCAGGGAAAACAGGCATTTTCTGGGATAATAGGAACAATAATAATAAAGAAGAGAAGGGTCTTGGTTGGAACAGTTGCAGAAATTCTGGTGCACTCTTAGCCCTTCACACATGCCAGAGGCCACAGCTAGCTGACCGGTGACCAATGACTAGCTGCTTTCTCCGCCAGCCCAGCCTCCTCATGTGAGCAGCAGGCCGTGGGCTGGGCTGGAGCACACTGAGGAGCGACTTCTGTACATATGGGAATGCACAACATGTTTTACCTCTAGAAGAAAATGTTAAAAGTGTTCGCATTTGGATGGGGAACCCTCGGGAAAAGGAGGAATCCCTTAGTGCAGTGCTGTAGCTTTCAAATGTCAAAATGGCCTGTCTACTGGGGGTATAAGCTGGACTGCTACATCTGCGCAGTCAGAATTGAGTGAATGGATACTGCTTTTATAGAAATGTACCCACTGTGCCACTCAGACTTTGAACGGTTCTTTGTGGAAAGTGTCTCTGGAGAGGAAAGTTTATCTTCTCCCTTCTCTGTTGGAGGCAGAGTGGCAGGAGGAAAGGCAAGAACAGAGGCAGGGTGTTGGCAAAATCAAATTCAGTGCAGATAAAGTTGGTGAGGCTTCAGAAAAAGGCTGCCTTATAAAGACAAGTGGTTATGAGGCAAATGTGGGCCCTCTTGACCTCATGAAAACAACCTATTTTTCAAAACAATAAAGTTGGATTTTGTGTTTATACTTGCAGGTTGTTAAAACAGGTGTTGATACAGAAGAAGTAGAACTTGTTCCTGCTTTGGAATGGCTATCAGAAAGACGTCGTTACTATTTATTACAGCAATTCAAGATATTTTCCAATTTCCGGTGAGATGAATAAAAGCAACTAGTTCTTTGCAGGTTAATCCTGTTGTAAAAGCAGTTATCAGATGACATTTGAGTCCCACAATGACAAGTCCACATTGAAGGGGGTGTCCCGGGCCAGTGGGTATTCCACAGAAGTGTTTCAGATGACACTCATTTGTTTAAGTACTAAAACTCTTAACGTAGTCATCTTGGATAAATATTGCCAAAAAGATAACTGTATGATCCGGCACACTTAGACGGACCCTGTTGACCTTACTTTAGCTACTTTCCATTCATTTATTTATTTTTTCATTAAGTGAATATTTATTGAGCAGCCACTAAGGACGCAGAGTTGTTCTTGACGCTGGGGCTACTGTGTTGGAGAAACCAAGCAGACATCCTGCTTCCAAAGACCTGGGTGGTAGTGAGAGATAATGAGCAAGCACGTAAAACATGAGAAATGCCAGGTGGAAAGTTGGTGTTACGAAGGAAAATATAGCAGAGCAAGGATGCGGGGCCACTTGCAGATCAAGCTTCTCACTGAAACATCTCTCACAGTCTAAAGTACTTCATATTACATCACAGAGCATTGGGATTCCTGACGCTCTTCTACAGAGCAGACCCAGGCTGCATTTCTTTTAGTGCTTATACAGTACCTACTTTTATAATTACCTTGTTTCTTCTCCAGTGTCTGCCTTTTCTTCTCATCTGCTGCTATCTGCTGGGGTCTAGGACAACAGATCAATTATATTTATATACTCAGGGCAAGCACCCCTGAGCTACACTCCCAGGCCCAGATAAATACTTTAAATTATTACATTTATTGTGATAAACAGGTTAAAGAAAGACCCAAGGAGCTCTTCAATAAGGGAAGTATATGGGATTTTGTGGCAGAGAAGTTATATGTTTACTGCACAGTATTTGTCATGGACCTATTCTATTTCATTGGTGTGAAAAATACAGAGGGTGTGTGTTCCTATAGCACTTGCATTCTAAGAGAGGAAGTTGATAAAAAGTAACTGCATACACAAGATAATTTCAGACAGAAGTAAGGTCCAGAAAGATAATAACCATAAATAAGATGGATGTGGTATATGTGGCTGCTTGCATGGGTGGTAGATGAGGTGTGTGAGCAAAGACCTGATCAGAAAAGGAAGTGGCCTGTTGGATTCTAGGCAAGGATGGTTCTGAGCAAGTCATGAGGCAGGACAAGTCAGTGTGTATTCCCTTGTGCGAGTAGAGCATGAAGAGTTGGTGGGAGCTGAGCTGGTCTCCTCCTGTCTAGGTCTGTGTCCCTGCAGTGGCCATGGCTGAGCAACAGCTGGGAGACGTTCCTGGCCAGGCCCTGTGGTGATTGCACCCTGTTAGTTACGTTCCAGTGGTGAGGCTAGAGAGGTTGTCACTTGTGGTTGATCCACTTCAGGTACTATCCCAAGTGGTAATTGCTGTGTCTATTTACTTAAGTGTGTCACTGCTGGACTCTGCAATGTTGTGCTGGCTTTGTAATAAATTTTTAGGGTGCATTCTGCTCTGAAGAGTTTTCATGTATTAAACTGTTGAAACCCAGTCAGAATTGAATAAGAATTGTCATTTTATATGACATATGTCTTCGGTAAGTCCATGGTCAAAATGATTCATGTACTTTCTCCCTTCCTTTTTCCCTCCCTCTCTTTCTCCTTACCTTCTTCCCTCCCTCTGTTCTTTGCTTCCTTTCACTTTTTGGGGTGGGCCCATGGACATGCTAAGCATATGCTCTACCAGTGAGCTATACCCAAGCCCCATTTTCTCTCTTCATGTTAAGAAAAATATAAATTGAAATTTAGCCTTAAACTTGTAAATGTGTTGGAATTTATTTTAACAGATTGTGTAGTCTAATCACTAGTATTAGAAAGTGTATTTTAAATAGAATAATAATGAGATATGAAATAGTAACAAGTCAGGTTGACACCCTTGAGAGAACTTGTGGGTACATGGGGCACTAACCTGAGTGTCCCCTCTCTGCGTGTCCCTGGACTAGCCTGATCTTCTGGGGTCCTGGTCACAGCAACACCAAGGCTGGCTGGGTGTGGGTCAGGCTGGGCTGGATGTAGGTGTGGTCTGCAGAGGGTACCACCTGGCATCCCTGGGAGCTTGGGACACCTGCTCTTTGTGTGAAAGGGAAAATTTTCACATCTTTAGATCCTTTGAGTTTTTAAAAGTTATATGTTATGTTTGGTGTCTGCATGTCCCCCCAAATCCTCATACAGTCATTGGGAGGGCTTCTAGATTTTTGATTGATTCATGGGTGTGAGTGCTACACCTGCCCTAGGGTGGATAGTTTGCATATGTAAGGGAGAGAAAGAGGCTGCTTGCTGCCACTCCTCCCTTTTGTTCTTGTTGCTTTTGCTGTTTTCCACCACCATGAATGGTTGCCCTCTGCTATGTGCCACCCTACCTTGAAGCCAGCTGAGTATGGACCTCCACAGACTGTGAGCTAGATGAACCTATCCTTCCTTAATTCTGGGTGTCAGGTGTTTTGTCTCAGCAACGAGAGAAAAGTAACCAAAACATTATATATGCATCTGCTTTTTCATAACTGTTAAATAACATCAAAATAATATACATTATCTTAATTTTTACTTACCAATACTCAAAGATTTTTTAAAAATATACTTCATTATCACTGAAAATTGGACTTTAATGAGGCGCTTTGCAAAATAGCAAGCCAAATAATATACAAGGGAAATGATATATTTCTATAGTGAACTATTTATTAGAATGTTGCTATTAAGGGAATCTTGTATCAATGATAATTATAATGCATTCCTCTTACCTTTTGATTTGTACTTTGTTGACAGTTTAGGAGAAAATTTATGAAGTTAATGTTTGGGTAGCCCAGAATGAGTGAAACATGTTCTTGGGAATTTTTTAATATTACTAAGCTTTTAATATATTTCTTCTATATAAATATATGATTTGTGAATATGGAATGTAAGAAGTGGTTTTTTTTTCAGAGTTAATAAAGCCTTTTTGACATGGAAATTGAATGTTAAAAGAATTAAGACAGAGAAGAGCAGGTGAGTCTTGATATGCAATGTGCTTCTGAAAATTTTAGAAACAAGATACATCCTAAATGTGTAAGGGAAAGCCAGGCATGATGGCACACACCTGTAATCCCAGTACTTGGGAGGCTGAGGCAGGAGGATCGCTGTGAATTCCTAGGCCAGCCTGGGCTACATAAATGAGTTCAAGGCCAGCCCGCACTACATAGTGAGACCCTGCCTCAAAACAAAACAAAACAGAAACCAAAATGTGTCAGGGATATAGCCACTCTTGGGCAGTGTAGTGAGAAAGCAGTTGTGTTCATGGGGTGTATGCCCCAGCCAACTCCCCACTATGGATTCCACATCCTGGCCACATAAACAACTAGCTGCTAGCCAGGCTGGCATTTTTTTCTTTTTTAATTTTAGAGATAAAGGGAGGGAAACATTAACAGACATACAACATTTTACAACATACCACAAGCACAGTACAGACAATACAGAGTTACAAACAAAGTGGTAGGGAATTAACAGTGGTTGTTGTATTACATATTGATATCTTCAAAAGTGGCTTCTCATGAAAACAGATATAGACATGCAATACTGGTCAACCAAAGACTCATTGACAGTTTCTTTCAGCAAAGAAATAGAAGACAGAAGA